TCCCGGGGGAGAGGAGGCTGTAGAAGTTAGCACGTAGGCTTCCTTGGTTGAGGACAACAGATAGCGAATGAGCAGATGGAGCTATGTAAGGTCAGAGTTTCTGGAAGGACTCCCAGACAAGGTATGGGGCCAGAGAGCATTCTGAGTGATGGGAAGGAAGATGCACAGTGGCTCTTTCCTCTGAGCTTGCCCTGATTCTAGAAGCCCATGGACCAAAGACACACTGATAGATTTAACTTTGAACCTTTAGGTTGAGTTGATGCAGACCTTTTAATTCCTGCTTTAAAATAGGATGGGATGCCAAACCTGTATGAAGACCGTGTGTATGGCACACGAGACTTTCTCAAGGGCTCTCTCAGCCTGTTTTGATTTATATCATTATGTATGCATTGATGTAGCATAAGGAAAATTAAAAATGCCCTTAACAGGCTGACCTGAATGCTCCTATAGCGGGCTCCATATGTGTATTTTGGAGGCTTTTGAACATGACCGCTCTCTCTCTCTCTCTCTCTCTTTTTTTTTTTTTACAAACTCTGCTGTATTTAATGTTAAGGCTCCAAGGATTTTACCTCATGCACTATAAATGCAATATAAACTAGGGAAATCAGCCAAAAACACACTCAGAAGATGCTATAAGATTCTAGTTTTCCTCTTTTAGACTTTTACTTCTCCATTTTTTGGTTGTAAGGGAGAATCATGCATCTATTAATCTTTTACCTAGAATCTTTAAAATGTGACAGATGGTGAGCTCTTTAAAATTTGGAGCTCGAGATCTCTTAAATGTCACCATGTAGACTGGTCCTGGGTAAATCATGTTACCTCCTTAAATTTGAGTTTTCCTTTTGGTGAAACGGGAGGCTGAACTTCCAGGACTCTTGTTCTATGATGATACAATTACTTCTCTTCATTGTGCCCAGGACTGTGCAAAATTTTTTGGAGGACAGGGGCTCCTGGGGCTCTGTCGGTTAAGCCTCTGACTCTTGATCTCAGCTCAGGTCTTGATCTCAGGGTTGTGAGTCCAATCCCCATGTTGGGCTCCTCACTGGGCATGAAGCCTACTTAAAAAAAATAAAAAATTATATATATATATATATATATATATATTTGGCGGGGAGGACAGGCTTGAGGGCTGTATTTTTGCTTTTTGACACATACTCAGATCTCTTATTTTGGTTCTTCTCCTGAGGCCTCTGTGATACCGACTTCTCCCCATTCCCTGCTCCCCCTGGCCCAAGTCCTTTTCTAAGTCACTTGCCTCCTAGCTCCTTGGCTGCCTCTGTCCTAACTGGTCTCTCTGCTTCTACTCTTGTCCTGCCGACAGTCTGTTCTTTACCCAGCACCAGCACAATCTTTTGAAACAAAATCAGAACATGTCTGTCTCTTGCCTGAAAGCCCTCCCATGACTTCCCACTGCCCTTGGAAATACAAATCTGTTCCTGCCTTTGCACCTGCCTCCTCTGCTGGGAATGCTCTTTCCCTAAGATGTGGCACAAAAGGGCTGCTTTTCAAGTGGGTTGCAGCTTAAATATCACTCCCTCAGAGAGGCCTTCCCTAAGCACTTCGTCTAAAACAGCCATCTCTTCTGCTTAATACCTGACACATTATGTGGATTTATTATTTATATAGGATATTCCACCTGCAATTATCCTGTATATCGATTTTTGTTGTTGTTATATCTCATCCCAGTAGCAAATATGCTTCATGGGATTAAGGACTTTGTTGCCTTGTTCATTGCATATCCTTAGGAATTAAAGCAGATTCTGGAATATAATAGGTGCTCAAGGAGTGTCTGTAGAATGAATGAATGAATGAATGAATGAACATCATGGGTAGAAAAACTACATGCCAGAGAGGTTATGGTCACAAAGCTAATTAGAAGCAGGGTGAAAGAAGACATGAATAGACATACAAATGGCCAACAGACACATGAAAAAATTCTCAACATCCTCGGCAGCAGGGAAATACAAATCAAAACCACAATGAGATGCCACCTCACACCAGTCAGAAGGGCTAAAATTAACAAGTCAGAAATCCACAGATACTGGCGAGGATGTAGAGAAAGGGGAACCCTCCTACACTGTTGGTGGGAATGAAGGCTGGTGCAGCCACTCTGGAAAACAGTATGGAGGTTCCTCAAAAAGTTGAAAATAGAGCTGCCCTATGACCCAGTAATTGCACTACTAGGTATTTAGTCAAAGGATACAAACATAGTGATTCAAAGGGGCACCTTCACCCCAATGTTTATAGCAGCAATGTCCAAATATCCAAAGTATGGAAAGAGCCCAGATGTCCATCAACAGAAGAATGGATAAAGAAGATGTGGTATATGTGTGTGTGTGTGTGTGTGTGTGTGTGTATAAAACAGAATATTACTCAGTCATCAAAAAGAATGAAATCTTATCATTTGCAACAACGTGGGTGGAACTAGAGGGTATAATGCTGAGCAAAATAAGTCAATCAGAGGAAGACAATTATCATATGATTTCACTCATATGTGGAATTTAAGAAACAAAACAGAGGATCAGAGGGGAAGGGAAGGAAAAATAAAATAAGACAAAATCAGAGAGAGAGACAAACCATAAGAGACTCTTAACTATAGGAAACAAACTGAGGGTTTCTGGAAGGGAGGTGGGGGGTTGGGGTAACTGGGTGACGGACATTAAGGAGGGCATGTGATGGAATGAGCACTGAGTGTTATATACAACTGATGAACCACTAAGTCTACCTCTGAAACTAATAATACACTGTATGTTAACTAATTGATTTAAAAAAAAAAAGAAGCAGGGCCAAGACTAGAACCCAGGCCCCTTCAGGTCTTTCCTTCAGGTCACGCTGTCACACAGGAAGCCTGACTTAGAGATGATTCTCTCATTCGCTATTTATTTATTCACCAACTATTTATTGAGCTCTTATTATGTTTCAGACACTATTCTACATTAGTGGTTCTCAAGCAGAAGTGATGTTGGTCCCCTGGGAACATTTTTCAATGTCTAGATACATCCTCAGCTCTAACAAGTGGGGTGGAGGGTGCTATTGGCATCTCGTCAGTGGAGGGCAGGGATGCTGTTCTATATGTGTCCTATAATGCCCAGGACAGCCTCCCACAATAAAGAATTGTCCTGCCTGAAATGTCAACAGTGCTGAGATTGGAAACCCCTATTGCAGATGAGCAGATACCTGCTCTCGTGGAGCTTATAGTTTAGCGTGGAGAGACAGATGACTGTGTGTATCATACATAAGGAAATTAAAGACCATGTCAAAAAGATGGTATGATGGAAAAGAAAGAAAAATCAGAACACAGTAAGCAGGAGAGCTGGTGGGCATTGTGGGTGGTGACGGGGTGGGAAAGACTATAATTTTAGCCGTTTGGGGAGGTGAAACAAGAAAGGGAGTTGTTGTTTTTTTTTTTAAGATTTTACTTATTTATTTGAGAGACAGAGAGACAGAGATAGCAAGAGAGAGAATGAGCAGGGAGGAGGGGGAGAAGCAGGCTCCCCGCTGAGCAGGGAGCCCGACGTGGGGCTTGATCCCAGGACCCTAGGATTATGACCTCAGCCGAAGGCAGACACCTAACCTATTGAGCCACCCAGGCGCCCCAGGAAAGGAAGTTTTGCCTCGGGAGGCTGAGCTCCCTGACCTGCAAGGACCAGTCCTTTGGGTTCAGCCCACTCAACTTCACAGATCATCCTTACATTTAAAAAATATAAAACCCTTCCGAACCAGGGAACATCTCAGCCTCCAAATGAAAATAGAGCAAACTGCCGTGGGCTAGAAATAATTATCATTTTCCACTTTTCAGGGGTGTTTAAATTCTTCTTTCTCAACACTTTCAGTACTCTATCATCACTCATGCAGGACAGTGTTAATTTGATGCAATTTGTATTGCTCATTGTCAACTTCTCGCTTTTCTCTCAGAGCAAGAGTAGTGTGATTTCAGCCTCTCCCAAGAGCATCGTGAGGTTTTTGGTTGTACAGAGGTTTCTGTCTGTCTAGGCTGGTTTCCTAAAATCAACAGAAACAATTATAGATTTCAATGTCTTGGGGAAGCTGTAGTAGTTGATGCTGGCAAAGCTCAGTCAATGAAATGGTTTTACTATATATATTTATATGTATATATACACACATATACGTGTATCTGTGTGTAGTATACGAAGATATACATTTAAGATCTCACTAAAAAAATCATACTAAAATTGTGGTTTTGGTAATTTGGTAAGCATGTACTTGTTCTTCTGTTCTCACTCTTGTTTCTTTACCACAGTTCTTTACCAAACATTGGCACCTAGTAGGTACTCACCAAATGCTTGTTGAATGAATAAAAAAACTGTAAAAATCAGTTTGGAATTACTGGGTTCCAAATCATTTTTCCACATTTGCATGAACTTTTTTATGTCAGCTGAAACACAATTTGGTAAACACAGTAGCATATTTTTTTTTTTTTAAGATTTATTTATTTATTTTAGAGAGAGAGAGAGTGTGTGAGTGGAGGGAGTGGCAGAGGGAGAGACTATCCAGGTGGACTCCTGCTGAGTGTGGAGCCCAATGCACTGCTCGATCCCATAACCCATGAGATCATGACCTGAACCAAAACCAAGAGTCAGACGCTTAACAACTGACTGAGCCACCCAAGCACTCCCTACAGTAGTATATTCTTACGGTGTTATGTCTGTGACATATTCATTCATTTCTAAGTCTGTGTTTTGTTTTTTTTTTTAATTTTTAAAATTATTGCCAGGGATATGATTTGACTTACGGGGTTTCTGAATCTTCTAAGTATAAAATTCTTAGTAGTTAATAGCTTTTCCATATACCTTTAACCTAGGGAGGGATTATTAAGCAAGGGAATAGATTTCAATGAATGTTCTTAATTCAAATGTATTTAAATTGACAATGTTGAAGAGATTATGCCCAGGGCACCATTTTCTTTTGGGTGCCATTTTATTCTATAGAAGAACTATGTTGACTAGTACACTGGGTGTGTGTCCATGTTTTTTTTTCAGTGCTATTTCTTCACAATCGAGTTTGGCCTTTGCAAGCAAGAAGGGCAACTGCGGGCTTATGGAGCAGGACTCCTTTCCTCCATTGGAGAATTAAAGGTATGAAGCTGTGAATGAAAATATCCTTCCCAGGCAAACTGGTTCAAGGTCATGGAAATATTGATTTGTTTGTCTGAGCAGTTCTACTCGAAGATACCCCATAAATATTTAATAGAGAAGATTTGGCACCTCAGATGTGGGTGCTGACCTAACTTTTTGCACTTCTGAAAATGGGTCATGCCTTTCTAGGTTCGTGGCGTGACTCAGATGGATGAGCAGCCATGTGCACAGATCAACAGGAATGACAAATATATGCTCAAATGTTGGGTAACATATGACTGGCCTAAATTTAGTGCTGAAAAGTGGGCAGCAAGTTAGCAGTGATCCTCCTGATTGAAATTTCCTTGTAAGGATGGCGTGGCTATTTTCATTTCTGTTATCCCCATGGCTCCCATGGACACCCTAGAATTTACTCCTCAAAGGGGAATTTGAGATTATTTTAGCTTCTTCAAAATTAATGTGTATTAAAACATTTGTGGACATATACAATTTGGAAAAAAACCCTAAATAAACCTACGTTCAGAGAGGTAGCTAATATGTGTAGCGATGCCTAAAGAATGCTATTTTTTTTTTTTTGGTCTTAAAATACAGCAAATGGTCATTTATTCAGAAACGTTGGGGCCTGGATCATTTGCTAATTTAAGTATCCTGGTTACTTAAGAATTGCTATCTGTACTGCTGGAGGATAGCAAGTTTTGATGAATTTAGAATGCAGTGCGATGTATAATCTGGAAATGGTACTGATGATAATTTAATCTTTCTTTGATTACCCAGACTAAGATCAGGATTATTGACTACCCTAAGGTTGTTATTTGGGGTATTGATTATCCTTATATAATATAGTTGGGAAATAGATGATTATTGGAACTTTTTGGTTGTTTATATTCTTGAAAGGTACAGTGTAAGTAGTCTTATTGAGTATTCACTTTATGATTCCATTCATTCATTCATTAATTCCTCAAACATTTGATTGAGTACCTACTATGTGCCATGTACTGTGCCAGTCACTGGGGATATAAATGATGAAGAAGGAGAAGGAGGGGAAGGGGGAGGGGGAGGAGGACATAATGGCGACCTCAGTGGACACTCAAGCAGACCTCAATTAGTATTGTAGGTGCTTTAAACATATTAACTCACTTATTTCTCATAACTACCCAGTGAGATAAGCAGTATTTAGTAATAATATAATAATATCTCACAGATGAGAAAACTGAAGCATAAAGACATTAAGGAGCTTGCCCAAGGTCACACAGCTAGTAAGTGCTGGAGCTGGACCCAAGTCCAGGTGGCCTACCCTGCCGGATTCCAGCCCTTAACCAGCAGGCTGTACTGCCTGGGGTCCCTGTTATCAGAGGGTTTACTTTCTAGTGCAAGGGATAAACAGCCAATCAGATAATGCAAAGTGTGACATGTGGGCCTGGCACTTGCTAGGTCGTGCCGGGGAAGGCTCCTGACGAGGGCCTTGCTGCCCGAGCTGATTCTTGGGGAGTGGAAAGGATGAATGAGGAGAGGATGAGATGCACAGAACAGTGGGTGGACAGCAGCATGTGTGCTCTTGTCAAATCCTGGCCCGTTTAGGGAGCTACCTGAGGCTCCACGTGGCTGGAGTAGATGGTAACATTTCGCATGACAAAAGCCTGATGTAATGTGGTAATTTTTTTTTTTCTTTTTAACGAAGTTCTCCACAACAACAAAAGGCCACTTGGGGTTAATTTCAGTACAGTGGCCAAAGCCCACAGCAATAGCATGATGTCATATCTTTGTAAGACCCATGCCTTTTGTAGAGTGCTTCTTGATTTCCATGAAAAAAGAATTAGAAAATGATTTCTCTCATGAGCTATATCTATTTACATTCTCCTCAGAAGGTTTGTAAATGACACCAGAAACAAAAGAAACAAATCTCTCTCATTGCCCCAACTTTCGACAGGGTCCTCTAATCGGGTTAATGGGGCATGTATAGGCAGCACTGGGGTGAATCTGTTGTTTTTGTTCCTATGAGTGTGGACAGAAACGTCTGAAAATGGAAATCAGCTAGGGCTGTGTACACCAAAGGGCATTGTCGGCCGTGAATCTTGTTCTGGTCCATCACCTCTAGTCATTAGCATTCTTCCATTCTCAAATTTCTACACTCCAACATCCCAAAGATTGCTACTTTGGACCATTTTTACAATTCAGAAATTCTTGCAATGAGAAGTATCTTCTGATTACTCACAGAGAATACATAGCACAGGATGCTTTCCATACCCGCTTCCCTCCACTCATCTCCTCCCCGCTCTGGGCAAATGTCCAGAACCCTCTCACAGCTTCTGAGTACTTCTGCCTAACTTCTGTTAGAATGGACACATGATAATCCTGAACACAGGATGAGGGGATAACTTAAAATTGGTAGCATTATAAAAATTCATATGTAAAACACGCTTACAATTTTGAAAGGAGTTACTTTTTGCAGTGAAACATCTCTTGTTTCAAACTGCAGCCCAAATGTAGGTCCCAGCTAAGTCATTAGAGGTTTTGGTGTAGTCTTTATTACTTTTACCTAAATATCCATGATTCACCTTCTCTCCTTGAACAGAACACGTTTTAAAATTTGTGCTTTAAGGGGCTAAATTTTCCTGGGCATAGATGTTGTACTTCAGAGCTGGCCCAGTACCCCCAAGGGGTGTTTCTATAGTTTGGAGGATAACTTTCATTTTCCCTCTTACTCTTTCAATGATTACAATGCTTGTTTTTTGACAATCTTTGGAGAGAGAAACAAAATAAATATGGAAAAGCTTGTACAAGCTACATCTGATAGCCACAAAGACTTCTTTTAACCTCATCAATGGTTGCTCTCTCTCTTCTCTGTTCTGTGATGTACTTTCAGGAATTCCAAAAGTGTGTTTGGGTAGGGACTCTACCATACCTTCATCACTCTGGGGAGCAGTTGATAATGAGCTAACTCATCTGGAAGTCTGACTTTAAAAAAAAGGCTGAAAGTAGGATAATCAATTGCTGTTTACCCATGTGTCTTTTTACAGCATGTGTCTTTTACGCTTTTTCTATCTCAGAGTTGACCCTACTATATGTGTCTCATTTTTATTTATGAGACCCTACATTATGTGTCTCACTCATTTATTTATTCACTTTGTTCAACAAACCCACAACTAAAGGCCTAAGGTTTCAAGGAACTTGGAGTCTCTAGTAGGGAAGTTCTAAGAAAGTGGTTGATATGGGTATCTGTTGAATCCAAAACTCATGGACAAGTAACAGTGAAGTTTGTTCATGGTGGTGGTAAGGAAATGATTGCTAATTGATGAATTGGCTGAATCTTATCCCAAAAAGTTAATCCATCTTAAAAGCAAAAAGGCAATTTCTCCTTTTTTTATGGGTAGAGTCTAGGTCTTTATTTCCTTAAGGGCGTGGATTAGATTTTTTTTTGTAAACAGCCTTAGCACCTACCCCATAGTAGTCACTGAAATAGTACATATAAATCCATCCGTTCTGCTTTTCAGGTTTTGACAAAGCTGATGGTTTTACAATTTTTAATTATTATTATTTTTCAGCTCTAGTTTTAGGATCTCCTTGCACAGGGACTTAATCATACTGCTTTTTAAAATAGCTTAATCAGCATTCACCCAACAGACTTGTATTTATTACAATTCTTCATGTTTACTGCCACTTGCAGCAACTCTGTCCAGTGGTCAGAATTCCTGCCAGGCTGTACAGAAGAGGCTGGAGGCACCTGCGGGTCCTGTCACCAGTGTGGCTAGAGTTAGGACTCACTGCTGCAGAGCTCCCCCACCTTTCCCCTGCACAGATGGCTCACACCTCCCTTCTCCCCCCACCCTACCTTTGCCTGAAACCAGCACTGTTAGTAAAGACAGAGCAAACTCTGGAGCATAGGGAGCTGGAAACAGGTCTTTGGCCTTTATGAAGAGTTGTTTGAAGAGGGAGTTTTTTCCCTTGCCCCTGCAACTTATTCAAACTGATAAAACTTGCAACATCACTGATTTAAAAAAAAAAAAGGTGCGATGCCATTATCAACCAACTGAGCAATAGGGATGTCAATGCCACTTTGTATTTGGTTAGCAGGAGGGACATTTGAGGGAAGTTCAAAAAATATTATCTACATACATGCATATGTACATATACAAATGTATATATTTGCAGTTCTGACAGGGGAAAAGATGATTGCAGTGTGAACGTAGGAGTGTTGCAAATTCTTATTCAGAATCTAGGGCCCAAACTACCTCTAAACCTGACTTGACACTTGAGTGTTTTCCCAACTTAAACCAGTCCTAATATAGAGGGTGAGGATCACAGGATTTACATGGAGAATAGTTGAGATAGTAACTCTGTGTCTGCAAAGGCAGGTGGCTGGGAGGAAGGAAGATTTTAAATTGAACTTAGGGCAGGCACTGTTGCAGTCTAAAACCTGGAAGCCTTATAGCGAGGGCCATGTTTCTTTCTCTGTGGGTTCTGGACCCCGGGGCGGGGGTGGGGGGGGAGAAGAGCTGCGTCAGTGGTGACAGGTGTGGCTGAATGCTGTGTCCTGTGTCCACCAAACATCATCTCCAGACTGAATTGGCAATAATCACTTAGTATACTGGGCACTCCCCATGTGCCAGGCACTTTGTATGCATCACCTCGTTTAATTCTTTTCTTTTTTTTTTAAGACTTATTTATTTGTTTTAGAGAGAGAGTGCAATTGGGGGGATGGGCAGAGGGAGACGGAGAGAGGGAAAAGCAGACTCCCTGTGGAGCACGGGGCTCCATGTGGGACTCCATCTCAACCCTGAGATCACGACCTGAGCTGAAATCAAGAGTTGGCCACTCAACTGACTGAGCCACTCAGGTGCCCCTCGTTTAATTCTTACCACAACCCTGGGTTATAGATACTATTAGTATTCCTGTTTTCCAGATGAATACTAGAATAGGCTTACAGAGGTGGAATAACTTGCCCCAAGTCATGTAGAAACTTCAGATAACAATTGGGTTCTGGGCAACTTGATGTTGAAAAAAGATTTTTGTATTTAAAAGGCTAGAATGGCAAATAAGCCTTAATTTGTGCACTGAAGTCAATTAATTGCTAATGGCCACCTCTGTTGGGAAGGTGGGGGAAAGGCCATGCTGAGGCCAGTGGGAAAGCCTGCCATGGCCAATTTGTACCACTGGGGGCAGAGGGAGGGGATGCCAAGCAGTGCAGTGTATATGTGGGCCCTTTTCAAACAATACGGCAAGGAGAGCTTTAGAATTCATGTAGATCAATCTTTTCAGTTTATTAAAGAGGAAACTCTGTCCCAGCATGGGGAAGTTTCACTCCTTTGATATCATGCCTCTGGGACAACTATGTTTAGGACCCAGGTATCACAGCTCCCAGTCCTGCGTACTTGTCTTTAGCACTCTGGGTAAATCCAAAATAGTCCTTTTAGAAAGTCTTCAGATGAGGGCAGGTGATTCTCAAGCACTCCTGCAATTTTAAAATGGCTTAAGACTAAAAGACTGTCAGCCACATTCTCTTAGCCTTATAAAGCCTCTGTCTGCCGAAGTTGGATGAATTCTTGCAGACTTCAGGATGTCAGACTGTTAACACTTTGGGAAGTAGTCACCACAGAGTTCCCTGGGGACATCAAGCAGTGTGGCTCGCTGTTTGCAGAGAATCCACTGTGGACATAGAGGGAAGGGCATGGAAGCTGCTCCCTCAAGCCGAGGCAGCTGAGAGAGAGATGTGGACCAGAGTTGAGAACAGACTCCATAGGGCTTCACCCCCTGGGGCATCAGTGGAGACATGGATGCTATTTCATAGCCTTGGGGCCACACTTTAGTATTCAGGGAACCTCATAGCTGCATGCATGTTCCCGGCAGGCATCCCACAGAAAAGCTCCCTGTCAGGTAAATGAGACCACTTACAGGTGTGAGCACCACCTCATTTGTCGGCCTCACTCACCAGTTGCCCCCCGAACTCCAGGCTCTTGTCATTCTCCAGGCTAATACTGGGGTACCACTATGATCGCCTTTTGTAATAGCCAAGGAGCAGCCCTGATCCCATACCCCATGGAGGGAGAGGTCCCCAGTAGGTCATTAGCATGTTGGACACAGCAGGCTCTTGAGGATAGACTGCCTTGTTGAGAGCTTGCAACAAGCAGCTCCCAGTTTTTCCTCGGAATATTACATTAGGCAAGTGTGAAATGCATTGCCTGATGGTCTTTGCCTCAAGTTTTATGCTGTGAATCCACCGACTGTCCTTGAAATCTGGGGCAGAGCACTCTGCCCTCTGGGCTCTTTCTTGGTCCACTCTCCTCCCCTTTACTAGTTAAAATGACGACCTGGGCTCATCTGAGTAGCCAGTGGGATGTCACGTGACAATTCTTTCTACAGCTACACCGATCTCCGTTCTCTGTTACTGTCTACACACACTCGGGAGGCCTCTGTTACACATGGTGGCCACCAGCACTGCTCATGGCCCATCCAAACATTTCAGACCCAAGCAGATGACTTTCACCTCCTTCCTGTGCTCGCATTGACTCTGTGCAAAGTCTGGCTCAGCAGTGATACCCTGCCTGAGGGAGCAGCGGTCTCAATGTTCTCACAGGCCGTCCAGCTGCCGCTCTGCCCACGCCCCTGATTGCGAGGATGAGAAAATAGAAAGATCAAGGACACGGAGTCAGTCACTGCCTTTCCTTTCATATGTGCTGGTTGGGGCGCGCACCCTTAGAATAACGTACCGAAGTCAAGCACGCCCCGAGTACGTGGCCGTGAAGAAAGCCGCTTCTAATTCTGAAAACCACAGCAAGTCAGCAGGAGGCCTGTTCTTCGCAGAGGAGCCCCAGCTCTCCGAAGAGGACATTTGTTTCTCGAAACTGTGAAGTTGTTTTTAAAATGTGGACAGAATTATTAGTCATGTGGAACCAAAATCCCCCGATGTTTACTGCACTGGACTGAATCTAGCACAAATGCATTTGCAGGTGTAGTGACCTTCTGCTTCTAATGAAGTTGTTCTGTGGGCCAAAAAGAATTAGTTCAGTCCCTGAGGCCCTCTGGGTTCCCTGATTCATGCATGCATCGATGGGGACAGCACAACTTTGCGGGAAAGCAAATCACATGCTGGGTAGGGCCGCGTGCCCTTTCTCAAACATGTTAGTCCTTGGGTTTGCAGTTGTATTTTCAAACTTAGGGAACCACACCCTTATTCATGGAAGGCTGCAAATCATCCCATGCATTTTGAAATTGTTGGGGAATATACCAAGAATTGGAACAGGAAAGGCTTGTAGCATTTCTCCTGGTGACCTTAGCAATCTACCTCTTACACTGAAAGGTAGAAAAGTGCTTTGGGTGGAACCCAGAGGCTGGAATGCAGTGTCTTCAGAAATCATCCAGCCCAAGCCTCTCATTTACAGTTAAGGAAACAGAGGCACAGAGAGGTGAAACACCATGGCCGGGTTACCCAGTGTGACAGCAGAAATGTCTGGAGTGGAGCCCCTTTTCTCTCAGTTCAAGGCAGTTCCTGCTGTCCCTTCTCTCAGTCCGCCCCTCTCCCCGCTTTAAGGAAAACACAGAATCCAGAGGAGTATTTCTCAAAATAGACTCACAACCACTAGCGTCACGGTGGATGCCTCTAACATGCAGATTTCTGGGATTCACCCAGACCTGCTAAATAAAATTGAGGCCCAGGTATTTGCATTTTTTTCACAAGCTCTTCAGTCATTCTTATGCACATGAGGCTTGAGAACCATTAGAGCCTATAAATAGGCAGGTGGTATGTGGCGGGGAGTGACCACTCACCTTTGGCATCACTGAATTTATCTTGAGAAGACAATCATTCACTGTTCCTTGCTGCTTTCAGTGCCAGTCATGTAGTGAGTTGAATGGAGCTAATGATGGTTCAAAGAGTAATTACACCGGCCTCCCTGTTTTTCTAACGCCTGCTCTGCGCATAACTGTAACGATTAATATTAGTTCTTTTTGCCCACCTGACAATATTTATCTGCGGTATTTTGCTCTGCTATACTTACTGAAAGGGAAATGAATGCTTTGCCAGTATCCTTAAATATACAAGCCCACTCCAGACTCTGTTGATACACAGTACCTGGCCTCAAAATGTCTCGTGATGAGGCCACAAATAGTTCAGTCAGAGCCCCAATTACCTTTCCACGCAGGTGATTATTACTTCTGCCATTTAAGTGAAATTTCAGTACATTGCTTATGGCAATAAATTGAGGGCCATATTTATGCTCCCTCCTTGCTTCTATTCATAGCATAGATTTAAAATTCCATTTCTTTTGGGATATAGCTCAGAACTGTCCTTCCGTATGAATTTGTCTGATGATAAATAAATATAATACCATAATCTCATTTTTCCCCCCTCAGCTTCTAACAGACTTGAACAAAAGTAAACAAAACCCCAAACACTCAATTTACCCTGCATATGGGAGAGTACCATATTTCATGGCAGACTAGTAACTGAGCAGTTCTTTAAAAATACTGAGCTGTGCTGTAGAAACGTGACATCAGGGCACTTTGGAAGTCTCATTGTGGAGTTTAACGGGTTTTGTGGTATGTTTTGCAGCATGCTCTTTCTGACAAGGCATGTGTGAAAGCCTTTGACCCAAAGACAACTTGCTTACAGGAATGCCTTATCACCACTTTCCAGGAAGCCTACTTTGTTTCAGAAAGTTTTGAAGAAGCCAAAGAAAAGATGAGGTAGACTTGTTTTTCTTCCATCTCCAGAAAAAATTTTTTATTTTTTCTGGCTGTTCCTTCCGTCTCTCTGTATTTCCTCTACCAATGAGAGTTGATCGCATATCCTTCTATCTCCGTTTCTTTTGCAGGGACTTTGCAAAATCAATTACGCGTCCTTTCTCTGTGTACTTCAATCCCTACACACAGAGTATTGAAATTCTGAAAGACACCCGAAGTATTGAAAACGTGGTGCAGGACCTTCGCAGTGATTTGAACACAGTGTGTGATGCCTTGAACAAAATGAACCAGTATCTGGGGATTTGATGCCTGGGACTAGGGTCATTGCCAACATGATCTTTTTGGGGCTTCGTAGTAATTCAGTCAACGTCATATAACACTGATAACTTCCTGTGTCATGGCTTGGCTAGTAAGCATGCAACTCTGTATATCTCTGTCTACATGTAATCTGCTGTGTTAATGTGTGAAACACCATAAGGAACCCAATGACAGATAACCGCTCATTGTTTGAAATATTGTAACCTGTTTAAACGTCTTCAATAGATTTGACATTCCTACTTGGTGTCCTTAATCAAACTGCAGCTCTTTAAAATTTGTAACAAATAGCCCTCTTATGATTCTAGCTTATTACTTTTTCCTTCTCAGATCTGAGCATTTCCTCTGTGTTCATTAGATAAAATGAAAATAGCAGTGAAACTGTTTTTATAGTCTCAGTGTTTCCACAGCATTATTTGAGATAAACCCAGAATTGTGTGAAACTCCCTTCACGTTAACAAAGGATTCAGTATTCTGTTCCAAAAAGGAAAACTAGTGAACACACTAGTTGGAATGGGTTTTAGATTGAGTATTTATACAATGTAAGAGAAGAGAATATCTTACAAATGGAACAGATAGGTGGCATTGACTGTGTAGAAACTGAGGGGTGGCATGCTTTCCAAAGAATTTTGGAAGAAAATACTTCCAGAGGGGGGACATTAGGAAAGACTAAACGGTAGGCAAAAAAATCTTGGGACTATGAATTTTATGCTGGAATAAAGTGAATTATCACGCTCAGGTGTTTAGCCCATTTCTCTTAGAGAACAATAATAACGTAGAGCTTTGATTTCAGAGATGTGGAAATTGAGTCTCGGAGAGGTTAGGTGATAGGCACAGTCAGTGTGCACTAACATGTATAGCCCGTTGCATCCCACTTTCAGATCACTAAGGAGTTCAGCGTGGTGGATTTGTGTGTAGTCAGAGATGGGAAACTAATACTTATCAAAACTAATGTTTATCACTAAGTAGGATTTGGTTTGTGATCAAGGGCTGCCGAAGCTACAGCCCCAATCCAAGCCAGATCTCTGAGGGTGTGTCCACTTTGCCCAAAGTTTGGGCAAATTTGGGCAAACAGTAGTGATACACCACAAATCTCTGGTCATCTTTGCCGTAAGAGGTATCATCAGGTGATTAAGTGAACAAATAAAAAACTGCTGAAGGAGTGAATAAATTTCTTCTTCTGATTCTCTCAACAAACACAACCACTGTTCCTCTCACTCTCTGTTCGTCATACGGAATGCTGGGTGGAGGGGCTGGGAAAAAGTAGAGAAGAAAAAGATGACCAAATGATTTTTAAGTTAACAGTTCTAAAATAATTACACAATTTCTAAGATGTTCGTTTAATCACAAATTGCATATAATTTCACACTAATTGATACTCACATGGGCCCATTATGAGTCAGAAATTTTTGGACTAGATATATGCAGGAAGAACATGAAAAGAGTGAAAATATGCAGTAGAGAGAGGTAAAATGAAAATAAATCAGAGGTTTGAATGGTGCTTCCTTAACTTAATGAGGATCTTTCATTTCTGAAGGATTCTCAGAACAACTGAGTTTTGGAAAGGGATTTGGTAGACAGAATGTGAGAGTCATGCAACTTAAATGCTATTTTAGATGAAAGAGATAGTGCCTTGAAAAATTCTTGGTGGTAGAGAAGTGATGAGTTAGCTGAACCAAAAGGATCTAGAATGATCCAGCAGTTGTATATTTCAATAATTTTATAGATCCCCAAATAGTTTCTTATATCTTGTTTTGCTCGATCTAGATGACCCTGAGTAATTATTTACTTTTAAATACTAATCTAGAACAATAACCCAGAACAGTAAATCCAGAAATTTCCAGAACTAGTTCCTGAATTTTCTCAAAGAAGAAAATTGGCTAAGCAATGTCTGCCTTCTGTGTTGTTTTTGTAATTTGGTGTTGCTATACCCGCCCTTAAAGAAAACCCCTAAGGAGCCATCGGGTTTTTCCCTTCTAGCCCCATGAAAGGGGAGGTTTTCAGTTAAGTGGACTGAAAGAAGAATTATATTTAATTGTGAACAAATTCCCTCAACAAAAATAACATTTGAGCTATCTTCTGATTTGGCTTACAGGGGCATCTTCAGGTTTTTTTTTTTTTTTTTTTTTAATATGTGCAAAATCTATGTTGTTTCAAAAATAGAAGAGTTGCAAAGTAAACAGGCTTTCCCACAGAGTTTATATAGGTATCATACACCGTGGAGGAATTACTTGATTCTTTTTAGATTTGATCTCCATTTGGAATAGCAGTAACGATGGTTTTCACCATGTGAAACAATGGAATCATGGTTTTCATTTGTTGTGAGCATTTAACACGGAAATGCCATTACAACTAATGGTGGGAAAAAAATCCTATAAAATTTAATAGCCATCATAGGAAAAGTGTTGGCAGAAAAAGTCCCCAAATGGAAATAGTACAAGATAATCACAGCTAGCTTCTCATCATATTTGATACCTGTTTTGTGTAACCATTTGTCTCCATTATGACTCATGACTTAAAGCTAAATTAAATAGAATCAAGGACAATTATACATTTGAAGACACTTGCTCACTGTTGTCTCATTGTGAATTGCTACTTTATTTTGACTTTGCTGCTGACTTCTATAACCAGCTAATCAGAAATCAACAAGAGATTCCTAGTAAGACCAGGTTTTTATGCATCACAAATTAGCAAAAGACAGCCAGAATCTGATTAGTCCAGTTTTTTTTTTTTTTTTAAGCATTTTTATCTGTTATGAATTAGGGTCAGGCATCCAATATATTCTTGGATGATCAGTTTATTTTGTATAATGAGAGCTCAATGGATTATTCATAAATTCCATCTTTTTTTTTTTAGACTTTATTTATTTAAGAGTGAGAAAGAGAGAGAAAAAGAGAGAGAGAGAGAGCATGGGCAGGGGGAGGGGCAGACTCTGCTGAGCAGGGAGCCTGAAGTGGGACTCGATCCCAGGACCCTGGGATCATGACCTGAGCTGAAGGCAGACACTTAACCAACTAAGCCACCCAGGCGCCCCATAAATTACATGTTTTAAAGTAGGGAACTTTGACCCAAGGTTGTTAATTTTTTTTTTTTTTTTACATTGGTGGGAAGGGTTGTGGAACTTGGGTTTCTGGCTTAGTCTCATTTAATTACTGTGTAATTTAGAAATGATGCTTTATGGGGATGATATATCTGTGTTTGTCTTGCTTGTACATAGTAAATGGGCCTGTGCCTAATGAATGTAAAGTATTGCGACATTTACCAACATGAAAAGTCTAAAATGAAAAAACAGTGTGCTTTAACGTGGAAGCAAATAGAAATACAACGTTTCATTTTCAAATGGAGTCATGGCTCACAACATCTCATTTTCTTCATTCGAGAAAGAAAACATTAACACACGATGTAGTTGTCCTCCAATTCATTTGATCTAATTTTCAACTTCTAAAGAATCAAGCACTGATGCTTACTCTCATGAACCTTGTCTTACTTATAATGAAAAAGAAAACAGCCCGGAGTTCTCTAGTGTGTCTGAGTTTTTTGGGTTTTTTTTTTCTTTTTTTTCTTCTTCTTCAATTTCCAAAGGCATTCTCTTATTTTGGGAAATGATTCTTATGCAGATTGCCATATTCTGGGAAGAGGCAAGAGAATTAATAGTGAGATACTGCTTCTTCTAATATTAGATTTGCATGTGTTCAAAAGAAACCAGTTCTGGAACATGAAATGGTGATTCTTTATAATATGACTTGGGGTCTCAAAACATTTATTCAGGGGCTTAGACCATATCAGGGACTGTATGAGACACTTTTCTAGACACTGAGGATATAGAGCTAAATAAGGCCAAGAAGCTATGCCCACTTTGAACTTACATTCTGGTGGACAGATACAGGCAAAAAAAAAAAAAAAGCAAAAAAACCCCACAACAGATTATTTGAGACCACGGCAAATTTTATGAAGAAAATAATTGGAGGGATAAGGAGCAATGGGCTGGGGGAAGGAGTAAGGTGGCCAGGGAAAGCTTTTCTGAGCAGATGGCATTTGGCTAAGAACCATGGGATGAGAAGAAGCCAGGCATGAAGAGACCCATGGAAAGACTGTTTCTGGAAGAGGGGACAGTAAGATCAAAGCCAGTGGAAGGCTTCAAGAGGGCAGCCTGGGAGGCAAGGATGAGATAATACAGGGTTCTAGAGGGGGGTCAGGTATATTTATTTATTTTAGAGAGAGAAAGAGAACAAGTGGGAGGGGCAGAGGCAGAGGGAGAGGGAGAGAGTCCTAAGCAGACTCCCCGCTGAGTGCAGAGCCCAACACGGAGCCCAACACGGAGCTTGATCTCATGACCCTGAGGTCACGACCTGAAGCAGACACCAGGAGTGGGCTGCTTAACAGACTGCCACCCAGGTACCCCGAGGGGGTCAGGTATGTTCTACATGGGGTGGAAAGTCACTGGAGAGCCCTAGCAAGACAATGACAAGATCTGATTTACATTTTTAAGAGGTTACCCAGGCTGCGGCATGGAAATGAATTGAGGGGGGGATGCCTGGGTGGCTCAGTCGTTAAACGGCTGCCTTCGGCTCAGGTCATGGTCCCAGGGCCCTGGGATCGAGTCCCACATCAGGCTCCCTACTTAGCGGGGAGTCTGCTTCTCCCTCTCCCATTCCCCCTGCTTGTGCACTCTCTTTCTCTCTCTGACAAATAAATAATAAAAAGAAAGAAAGAAAAAGAAATGAATTGAAGGGGGATGGGAGGGTGGGGTCAAACCAATTAGGAGGCCATTGCAATACAGTATCTTGCTGGATCATGGTGGACATTATTAAAACTAGTTGTAATTAAGTAAGTTACTAAGTTGAGTGGGTGAATTAGAACTGTCAGATGAAAAACGAGGAACTGGAATAACTGGTACCTGGGTTATCATCTGACCAGAGAAGCAGGTATCCAATGATATCCTGTGTCTTTTGCAAATACTTAAAGCCTCCTTTGACAAAGCAACATCATGTTAAAATTTCTCTGGCCAGCTTTTAAGGATAAAAAGCCAGCGATTTTTTTTTTTCCTTGTGACTCACAAATATTAGCTGCATAGGCAAAAATGAAGTAGAAAATGAGGCATTATTGGTGACCATTGGTGGTGCTGACGTTTAGGGTAATTCAGGACAAAAAAGCTCCCACACCTCCAGGCACGCTGAATAGTTGTGTTCACCGTGCCATCCAGCCATTTCTGTGGGAATGGACCCTGTAAGCGTAAGTGAATCAGTTGTCTATTTCCATTCTTCTTGCTGCCTCCCATCTCCCCAGATGCATATTTCAGATACCCCAGAAAGGTTCACTTACTGTGATTTCTTCCTCTCCCCAAGAAGATGGGTCTGGTGCAGCAGCTGGGTGTGTAGTTCTTTCTCGGGGAAGATCACAGTGAGCCGGATGTTCAACCCGAGGGCATCTGTGGTTATGGTG